CCTGCTGCCTTTTTTGTAACCCTCCTTTGCGCGCCTGCTGCCTTGGGCTTGGTAGATGATTTTCAGGCTCCCTCTCCGGAATCGGAAAATATTAATGGTCATTTTTCTAAACAATATACGGATGATTGATCCCAAAGTTTAGAAAAAATAAATATAGTTTAAAAAGACTAAAAAAAAACACGCTTTTATAGCACACGAAACTAAAAAATGAAAAATAAAAGTAGTTTAAAAACTAAAAAACACGCTTTTAAAGAACATTGAACTGAAAAGTTAAAAATAATTTTCTTTTGAATAAGCTTAAAAAAATAATGAAGAAAAATACTAGTATTTTTGTGAAGAAAAGAGTGGGTGGGTGCTTTGTGTCATATTTAGTTTTTTAAACTATATTTTTTTCCTGTTATATCCCGTTTTAGCTCGCAACTTGAGCTGTTCAAATATTCATTTATAGAGAGATTTTTAGTGTAGTCACAGAATAAGGAACTGTATAGAAGCGGAAGCCAAGAAAATTTTGGGAATAGCAACATCTTTACTAATTAGTTTACCAATGAGAGCCAAAGTATTCTCTCTCGCTGTACCAAATATTCAATCACTTCTAATTCATTACATAAAATTTCTTCCAGCCTGGGTAATTTACCAACAAGATGAGACATTTTCTCTCTCTATGGTCTTATTCAGTATTATTGTTGTTCAACAGCTGATCTTAGTTTCATAGAGTTGTCATGTGGATCAAAGCAGGATTCTGACAATAAAATATGTTCATTTCCAGATGTATGTATTTGAGAATTTTTATTATATTGAAAAAAAAAGAGAAAAGTTTTTTCAATCTATTTGTATTAGGGTTGAGGTAGAGAGTATTGAATTTTGAGATTTTTTGGAGCAATGTGTATATATTTGACAGAAATCAACTGATACACGAAAAAGATTGAAAGGGTATATCTAAAACAATTTCCCTCCTGTCTATACAGAGCAATTCTTTAATTTTTTGAACGGGCCAACTCAAAAAATTGAAATTTGGGATAATGAAATTAATGCATGAATACTTTATTTTGAAATGAAATTGACAAATGAAGCTTACAAGATGGCGACTGGGTGCCATCTGGGAAAAAAATTTAATGGAAAGGGGGGTTTGTGACCGACCAATATATATCCAAAATTCAACCATTGATGCCAATAACAAAACAAGAAATATAGTATGTCTGTAAAATAAACTGTTTAATAGAGACAAATGAAACTGCCATGAAACTCTTAGATTAAGAAATTAGTTTAAAGAAGTTCATGTTGATGACCCCAAACTAAGTGCTTTATCGTTAACGGAATGCATTTATTTTATTTATTTTCAGTTCATTTCTGGAAGAATATAAAAATGATACTTTTCATTTCTGTTGTTATTTCTGTTCGAAACAGTTGTTTTATATCCAAGATGCTAAAAGATTCACTAATCTGTTGCCTAGATCGAAAATAGGTAAACAAGAGGTCGTTATTAGGAAGCACTTTTCATTGTGGTTGAAAATGAGTGAATTTGTCTACTTTTACACGCTATCAATTACAAATATATTTTCTACCTGTATTACAAAATATGGGTGCAAACAATTGACTTTAGGTCGAATTCAGAACATGATTCTAATAACCACGATGCCGTTGATACCAAAAAAATATAATTTTTTTTGTATAAAACTGCACATATTCAAGAGATCTGTAGTGTTAGCACCTATTATCAGTGATAAACAATTTTACAACCTCAGGTGATCGGTATTCGGGTACTTAATGTTAGTCAGAAAAACAAAAAAATATGCACTTCCCAAAAACTCCCTACCAATATTCTGAATGTAATTCTAACACAAACAATCAACTTACCCAGTCTCTATGTCCAACATACGTTTTGACACAGTACCCTGTCGAGACCTCCCACATTTTGATGGTCTTGTCTCTACTCGAAGATATAACGAAATCTCCCGCTGGCATAAACGACACACCAGAAACATTGTGATCATGGCCCAGCATGGTCCGTATACAGTCATAAGTCTGTTGGAAATCCCAAAGTTTTATGCTCATGTCTGCACTACAAGAGACTAGAAGTTTTCCGGATGCATCGAATGCTATATCTTGAATGGAGTCTGTGTGACCTTTCAAGGTGCGTTCATATTCTCCTGTTTCAAAGTCCCAAACTTTTAGGGTAGCGTCCTCACTGGCCGATACCATTAGGCTGAACACTGGGTGGAAAATTACTCTGGTAACTGGCGCCCTGTGGCCTGGAAAAATGTTCATCATCAAATGGCATAAAGGATAAAATAACGTGAAGTGCTGCCATCAAAGCATAATGCAATTCATGGACATTGAGCAGACAGTAAATTTCATTGAATTTAATACTATCATTTCTTATCAAAAAATATCTTATTATTAGAGAATATGGTAATTTTCCAAAGAAAGTAATTAATTTCAAAATAAATTTTTTAAGAAGATGTGTAGATCATGCAAAGAAGTAACTTTCAGACAGACACTGGAAGAAAAAGACCTCTCGAAAGAACTACTTTCATAAAAACCTGTGACAGTAGTTGTTTTATGAGGGCTTTTTTTCAGTTTGTGACTGAAAGTTACTTCTTTGCATGGTCTTCACTTCTTTGTAAATAATTTATTTCGAAATTAATAGCTTTCTTCCTTTCTTTGGAAGATATCTATATTTTTTTTGTATAAAGATGAGGGAACGGCCAGGGGCCTGGAGGGCCTGTCTGGGAAGCCAATGTGGCCTTACGGACGGGGTCGCCAGACTCCTGGTCAGTGGCAGTAAAGCCTTTGCAAAACAGCTGATTAACGGAAAAACAGATTTTAAACATATTTTTAATTCAATTATTTGGTGGATCTCTCTCCGGTTCCACTGATATACACGTTTTCAATTCTCTTTTGAATCTTGATATCAGTTGTTGAATTTTCATTTCATCAGAAAGAATGTTGAAAGCCCTTGGACTCTTCTGGCCTACTGACTTGCTCATTAGCTTTTTGGACAAATCTGTTTTTTCCTCTGGTAGAATACGTATGATCCAGGTTGAAAAGGTCAATTTTTTTTTGAATACTGCAACTCAGCTGTTTGAAATATATTTGTCTCAGATCAAACGTTTTTGTCCCGTTTTATACTTGATCACTGGAGTATCTACTATTTTTATTCAGGATGATTTTCAAGAATTTTCTTTGGGATACTTACAATGCATTAAAGTACGTTCTTGAGATCCCGCCCCAATCCGAGAATACCGTATTTTAAGTGTGGTTCGACAAGACTTTTATACAAAATTAATCTTTAATTTTGTACAAAGATAGCTAATATGCTGATCCCACCGAAGATATGAATGGTGTTTATGGCCCGGAGTTTCTGTTATTAGTTCATGAACTTGGAAGGAGAAGAGGCCAAGTAACGAAATATTACCGTTCTACCTCTTTTTTGATGGAAAGAATTAATATTGCTATTCAACGTGGTAATGCTGCTTCGGTCCTTGGAACTATTCCTCCTTCACATAATTTTGATGAGATCATGCATTGCCCTCATTTCAGTACGGAACTAATATCTCTTCGAAACAAGCCAAGATATGTGTATATTCATCAGTCTCCTATCAAGGTTAATTCGCAAGTAATTGATCCACCTTCTGCTTTTTCAGTGCGGTCAATGGATTCAGGTCATTCTTGCCTCCCAAATATGAAGCTGCAGTCCTCGTGGTTTTGGTTACCTTTCAGTGGAAGAGCTTCATGAAGCAAGAGCCGAATCGATCCCTCTACGAAACCCTTCATCACTCGGAAGGATCGATTGCAGCTTGAGAAATGGTCCTGACGCAGATTCTGTGAAACATGTTCTTCCTTACGAATCAGTAGACAGTTGTCCTGAAAATCTTGGGAAGAAAATTTGACTAGATAATTTAGGAAACACTTGCTACATGAATAGCACTTTACAAGTGTTGTTCATGACGAAGAATTTCAAGAACGAGGTTTAAACGATGAACGAGAATATTTCCTACTTATTCATCAAACTCAAACAATTGTTCATGCAGTTGTAGTTTCGTATGAATGTATCATCTTTCCGACCAACCGATTTCCTGGAGTCTTTAAAGTCCACTAGATACTCATTAGGACAAGAGGATTGTTCCGTATTCTTGAAGTTCTTATTGAATACTCTTCGTGAGCAAAAAAAGAGCAGAATCAATACTCCTGACCGCGCTGGATTGAATGATTCCGTACAGTACATCTTATCTTGTGTTTGTAGATCTTTTGCTGGAAAAATCCTCACTTGTTTACTTTGTAGTAAACGTTCAAAAGCGGGCAAAAACGTATGTGATTTTCTGGAACTTCAACTAGCGTTTCCTAATATGATTGATAACCAGTCCGTGCAAAGCTTATTGTTAAATCATCTGAAAATGGAACTTTTAACGGGTGATGATCAACTGTATTTCCAAACATGCGCCAAACTAACTGACTATTACAAGAAAACAAGTATAGCTGAGGCACCAGTCAATCTAATAATAACACTGATGATCTTCAAACATTACTATATATATGATGATTCCTAAATATTTAATTTTTTCCTTTAGTTTTATTGTACATTTTATTAAAGTGATATCAAACATAGGAAGTCTCTTGACAGTTGAATGGTAGGTAGTGTGTTTTTTCGAAATTTGTTGATAAGAGCGAACCACATTTTCAATTTATTGAGGTCTGCTTGAATTTTATTTTTCCGGTCATACCGTTTGTTATCTGTGTAAAAAAGAGACAGTGTCATCAGCTAAGCTTGTGATTTTCAAATTTTTTCCACACACATTAGGTCGTTGAGGTATATTGTGAATAACATTGGTGCAGAGGGAAATTCACCTGTTTCCAGAGATTTATCATATATAATATTTAATGGGTTTTTTTATATAGTCTGCTATGAGTTTTAATGTTTCTGCCTTTAAACCGTCGATTCCCGGAGCCTTTTTATTTTTCAGTTCAGATATAACATTTTTTATTTTCAGTTCATCCGTCGGATTCAAGAAAATAGTATTCCCATGATTTTTTTTATGTTCAAGTGTTTCCGAAATTAATGAAAAAATCATTGAAACTCTCTGCGATTTCGGAAGGTTCGTTTATCGTTCTGCCGTTTTGATCTCTGATGGTGTTTGTTATTTCACTCTTCTGAATATTCAACATTTCATTTAGTTTTCCATAGTCGCACGTTAAGAGACAAGACCCCGTTAATCCTTGCTCGGACAAGTTTCGACTTTTGACGGTTGTCGTTCGTAAGGGGACGACGGCTGGTTAATCAGATTTTGAACATGTATTTTTTACAGAAAAGTGAAAATATAAAACCCTAGCGTTTGTTTGATCTTAAAGGTGAAGATCCCTGTGTATACATACCATTTTAAACAGCGATCATCTCACACTTTCAATTTATGATAACATCATATATGACTTATTTATCCACTCTGTTCCGTTCTCATTATATAAACAATAGAATTTCTTTTCCATCTATTTCTCAGTTAACAGTTCTTTTTTTCAATAAGAATATATAGCACGGGAATATACTTCAGGACATATTTTATACCATTTGATTACATTCTCTTCAATAACAACAATCAATTTCATTCCTGAATATCAGCAGAATCTTTCGTTTCTTCAAGTTATTTTCGTTTCTTCTTTTCCTTAATTATATGTAATCAATTATTCTGTGTGGATGGTTTGTGCTATCTTTAAAATAACCCAATATTGAATATACATGGATAGAGTTATATTAGTCTTTGCTACTTTGGAGCCTAGTGATTCACCAATTTATTCCAAGTGTTCTAATTTGAACAGGTATTTCTTTATATTTTTGTCATATTATTTTGGACATCATTTGGTAGTTCATAAATTGCTTGTCTCCTGCATTATTTAAGACAGGTGGTTTGAAATAAAGTATTCTAAACATATCCCCTACTATGTTGAAGTAGTTCTTCGGTTTTTTCCAGAGATCCCTTCAAAGGTTTTCTCGTGTGTATTTGCCAGGTGTGTTTTTCCAGTACTCTTGTAATTTATCATTAACCCATTTCATGTCACATATTCTGGATCAATACATTAAGCTGATGATCCGTGTCTGGCATACTCATCAGCTTTTTCTTTGCCTGAAATTTCTGAGTGTCCAGGCACCCCTTGCAGTCAATCTATTTCCGTTCGCCAGTTTCGACAGTTCTTCACAGCATTGCTAGATTAGTCTTGATATCACTCTTGGGTATCTGTAAGAATGTTGATTCGCTCATTTGGTTGATGCCTCAAATTAATAATCTATTCATATTCAAAAATTGCAAAGACTTTAGTTCAGAAGATAGATTGAAGGATGTGTACTGACCAAAAGGGTAACTGTAATGTAATTTTTTTTCTCGGGTATATTTCAGCTGCCATCCCATATTCGGGTTTCAACCCGTCTGTATACCAGGTGTTTCAAAGCATATCCTCGGAATGACTGTTCATCATCCACTCTTTACTGTTTCTGACTTTAACCATGGATTTTGTGTGCACTGTGTGTCACGTTTACTGTTCGTTCTCCACATATCACAAAATTCTAATACAGCATAGCGAATTTTCCAGTCCAAGTTGGCCCACTCGTGTCTTTCCTGTCTTTCCTGTCTTTCCTGGGTTGGTACGACTTTCATTGCACCCGTTATTCCCAAACAATCAAGTCTTTGAACCCTGTGCTCTGTTTGTCAATAACTACAGCTTGTTCTTCTTTCGTCACCAAGCCAAAGAAGCACATGAAATAACATGGTTCATTGAAAAATACGTAATGCGTCAATTGAGGTAACATAAGACGAAATCACAAAGATCAACGATAACACAAAATTGTTCATTATAATTTGTTTGAGTAAAATCAGTAATTGTGATTGCAAATCACTTATGAATCTTGAATCTCTTCAGTGTCACTCTTTCCTCAACAGTAACTGTTTTATCAATTGCCTTGCAAACAAGTCGAGAAGAACCTGTTGCAGAACTCAACGAAGGTCTTATAATAAGCATATTGTTTGGAAACGATATAGCAATACTTGGACATACATAATAAGTTCATGAATTATACAAATTTGCCCGTAATTCCGCCCCGCACGGTATCAAGGTAAAACTGTCACATAGAAATTCAACACCAATAAATTTTATGAGGCAACTGTGACTAATTTTTCATGGGCCAAGTAATGCAATATTGTAACATGAGTCATATATATAGGCAAGAGAAAGCTATCATGCTTCAACATTTTTCCTCAGTCTGTTT